ATATTCTTCCGAGTGCTTCTCCAAAACTTCCGAGTGCTTCTCCAAAAAGAAGAAAACAATAAAAAGAAAAAGAAAAAGTTGGGAACCACGGGCATTTTACTCCACCAGATTCTTAAAATTACCTAACCCCCTGATTTGGACCTTCAGTGTTTTAAGGCGGGAAGATACTGCCCATAAAAGTGAAGGTTGCTTGAGTCTCACAGTGAAGGCAAGAGTCATAGCTTCACTTCGCAGCAATGGCGACTCTGCAACCAAACCAACCTCCATCAACAAACTCATTAGGTACACGGACAACAACCCCAAAACCTCCCAAAACAAGAAGCAAACAGCTCCACAACTCATCACCCTACAAAAACCCCATCTCTTCTTCCTTCACTCTCACCCACCTCTACGTTTCTCTCTACCAATGGAGGCCAGCGCCGGATTGGTCGCCGGTTCTCACAACCGCAACGAGCTCGTGCTCATCCGTGGCCATGAAGAGGTACGCACCGCTGTTAAGAGTATGATATTAGCAACCATGTTAAGCATAGTAATATATATGTATGTATGTATTCTCTTTGATATCTTGTCTTCTATATCAGGTAGAATATAACATTGTATTGGGTAGCATATTATCTCCTTATTTACCTCTATTGGAACTTCCCATACTAAGTCTCCAGCTAGTATAAATGTTCATCATCATGCTCATCAATACACCCACAACCCTCAGCACAAATTCAAGGTTTTGGTGTATCTAACATCAGCAAAAACCCATCAAATCCCCCAGTCACGCATTTATAAGCGGATTAACAAAATACTGCTTTGTGACTCCAGATATCGAGCTAGAGACCTTATAGCTAGCACACGAGATTATTGAAGGGGTAATAATTACATTTTGTTGTTTTGAATTGTGCAGCCGAAGCAGATAAGGTCGTTGAATGGGCAAGTGTGCGAAATATGCGGAGATGAAGTAGGGATGACTGTCGAAGGAGATCTGTTCGTAGCATGCAATGAGTGTGGGTTCCCAGTTTGCAGACCTTGCTATGAATACGAGCGAAGGGAAGGGAGTCAGCTTTGCCCTCAATGCAAGACTCGATATAAGCGACTCAAAGGTATGTCTGCTATTGTTGTCATTATTTCAGACCAAACCACAAATCAAGTTTGATATTATAACAAAGAAAAAAAAAATTCAAGTAAGAAGTTAGACTGACTGGTTAATTACCGTAACTATAATGAAAGACAGGGAGAAGATTTAACTGTCACTCGCCATCTCCTCTTTCATGATTTATAAGGCTAGCTGTCCCTAGGATGAAGAAGTGAAGAATCCTACTGAAAAAAAGGAAAATTGAACAGATCTGTTAGAAAAGAGAGATAAAGATCTACTTTTTAGTATGACAATATAGTGCACACAAGTTCTACACAGTAAAAAGGTCAAACTCAAGGAAACCAAAATCGTGAGACTTAAGATTGTATTGCTACGTGTACGAATATAATAATTATAAATAATTAGCATAAGGTTCACATTTACAGAAAATGTTGATAGATTGTGCATCAACTACTGCATTAATCATGTATGGAGATACCAACCTCTACCGACTTACCTATTTGAGCTGGTTACTAATTTCATAACTTATGTAAATTATGTGCACAAGACCTACTTCATATACAAAATATATAATCATGAATATGATGGGCATGTGTAGCAAAAACAAAAGGAAAGATTCTAGTATTACGCCTAGATTTTTCCAAAGGAATTTCAGATGTGCGGTTGTCTGCTTGCTTCAAAGCAAAAAAAATATCTAAAATCAAATTTGTGAAAATTGGCTCTATTCACTTGTCTAGTCAAGTCTTGGATGTGGTAAGGCAGTGAGATCAATAGGGAATTGGTAGTTGAACATTCCTTTCTAACTAAAATAATAAATAAAATACAAGATAAATCCACAGAACATAGAATACATGAGTCTCCTGTGCTGATTAATCAAATATGATAGTTACGAGAGTAATGAATTATGGTTTTCGCAGGAAGCCCAAGGGTGGAAGGGGACGACGATGAAGAAGACATAGATGACATTGAACATGAGTTCAACATGGATGATGAAGAAAACAAAGAAAAACAGCAACAGCAGCCAATGCCAAACAAACAGATTGCAGAGGCCATGCTCTACGGCAAGATGAGCTACGGAAGGGGCCCTGAAGATGGAGATAGCAGCCCCCCTCACTTCCCTCCCGTCATAACTAGTATCTCTCGACCTGTAAGCTAACCTTCTCTATGTCTTATGAATCATCATATAGTACCCATAGCTAGCTTCTAATGCATAATCAATCAAAATTTTCATGTACAAACAGGTGAGTGGTGAATTTCCAATATCCAATGGTCATAACTACGGAGATTTCTCTTCATCAACTCTACACAAGCGTGTGCATCCTTATCCATTGTCTGAGCCTGGTAAGTGAGGCTCACACTAACAGTTACACGGTACTTGAAAAATATGCACAATATACACCAAGTTAGGGACGAATATGACCTTCGTAATTTCATTGAACAGGGAGTGAGAGGTGGGAAGAGAAGAGAGACGGAGGTTGGAAAGAACGGATGGACGAATGGAAGACTAAGCAAGGAGTCCTTGGAGGCGATTCAGATGATGTGGATCCCGACATGTCCATGTAAACACTCAAGCCGTGCTGTATAATTCCTCATGACATGCATTTTTTATCATAATTTCCATTAAAATCACACAACAAATGTATTTGTAGGATGGATGAAGCAAGACAGCCTCTATCAAGAAAGGTGGCTATTGCTTCAAGTAAGCTCAACCCCTATCGGATGGTTATTGTCATCCGCCTGGTAGTACTCTGCTTCTTTCTTCGCTATCGAATCCTCAATCCAGTGCATGATGCTATTGGGCTCTGGCTCACGTCAATCATCTGTGAGATTTGGTTTGCGGTCTCCTGGATCCTTGACCAATTCCCAAAATGGTTCCCCATAGACCGTGAGACCTACCTTGACCGTCTGTCTCTCAGGTGATTACTACACAGTCTTCGCACAATATGGTAGAAATATTAGAATGGATTTCAAGTCCATAGCTTTTGACATACATTATGGTGTTGCTCTCCTAGATGAATTTCCTAACCCTATAATTTTTTTATATATATGGTTATTTACATATTAGTCCCTCAAATCTTCAATAATTCCATATTAGTCCCTCAAATCTTTGGAATTTCTCGTTAGCCCTCTATTCCTGAACAAAGTACTCCCAGTTTATGTTTTCCCCCTAACCCTTTATTTTCAAAAAACATTGGCTGAGGGGTATGTTGATTTATTAACGGACCAAATTGCAATAAACACAGGATTTGAGGGACATATAAGCAATGTCAAAAAAAAATTTAATATGGAATTATTGAAGATTTGAGGGACTAATATCTAAATAACCCTTTTCTATAATGTGTCCTCTTCTAGGCTTTTCCTAACTTTTTTAGTTAGGAGAGGCTTAGAATACAACAATTATCATATATACCATAGTCTCGATCTTCTTAAATTTGGTGTGATGGTCACAGATATGAGAGGGAAGGAGAGCCTTCAATGCTATGTTCCGTGGACATCTTTGTCAGCACAGTCGATCCCTTGAAGGAGCCTCCACTTGTCACTGCCAACACAGTGTTGTCAATTCTCGCAGTAGATTATCCAGTGGACAAGGTATCATGCTACGTTTCAGACGATGGTGCTTCCATGCTCACATTTGAATCACTCTCGGAAACGGCTGAATTTGCTCGAAAGTGGGTCCCTTTCTGCAAGAAGTTCAATATTGAGCCCCGCGCTCCTGAGATGTACTTCTCTCTAAAGGTCGATTACCTCAAGGACAAAGTTCAGCCAACTTTTGTGAAAGAGCGACGTGCAATGAAGGTAAAACAAGTTCATTGGTTTCTTTATTGATTGTCATAATAATTTCGTAATGGTAGTAGATTCAAGTTTTGTTTTCGGCTCGTTTGAACAGAGAGAATATGAAGAATTCAAAGTTCGCATCAATGCACTAGTAGCAAAAGCTGTGAAAGTACCTACAGAAGGATGGATCATGCAGGATGGAACTCCATGGCCAGGTAACAACACCCGAGACCATCCAGGCATGATTCAGGTCTTCTTGGGTCACAATGGAGGCCATGATGCTGACGGAAATGAACTTCCTCGACTTGTTTATGTTTCTCGTGAGAAGAGGCCTGGATTCCAGCATCACAAAAAGGCTGGTGCAATGAATGCTCTGGTAATCGCTCTTATTCCCATATCTTTAGTCGTGTTACTGCAAGAAAGATTCAGGGGCAACTATTTAGTCTCCACAATTTTATGATGTTAATTATATAACTCTGAACCAAATGAATATCTGTTGCAAGATAATTCTCGGAACACATCAGTATTTGCAGAGATGTGCCACATTAATTTATGCGTGACTAATTGGAAGTTTGAAAACTTCAAATTGGAAAAGAAAAGGAAAAAAAAGTCCTGCAAGTTACCATCGAAGTCATGCCTGGATGGAAAACAAGTTGTTCTAGGGTTTCAAGCAATGGTATTTTCAATTTTCAAAGCAAAGTCTTACAGTAAGTCTTGGTTGTCTTGTAGGTCCGCGTCTCTGCTGTACTCACTAACGCTCCTTTCATGCTCAACTTGGATTGTGATCACTATATAAATAACAGCAAGGCCATAAGAGAAGCAATGTGCTTCTTGATGGACCCCCAGATAGGGAGAAAAGTGTGCTATGTTCAGTTCCCTCAGAGGTTTGACGGCATAGATAGGAATGATCGATATGCTAATCGGAACACCGTCTTCTTTGATGTAAGCCCAATCTCAACTTCTATTCTTCTCCTATCCTTAGTATTGCACTTAAAAGTGGCATGAAATTGTATCAAAATCATAAAAGGAATCACCTTATTCATCAGACTATTTAATTCTTCAATCCAGAACCTCAGAAGAGTCCATTTTTAAGCCAAAAAAAAAAAAAGGAATACTGTACTTACTGCAATGCTTCATGTTCAGATAAATATGAAAGGTCTAGATGGAATCCAAGGCCCAGTATATGTCGGAACTGGATGCGTCTTTCGGAGACAGGCCCTTTACGGCTATAATCCTCCAAAAGGCCCCAAACGCCCGAAGATGGTCAGCTGTGATTGCTGCCCATGCTTTGGACGGAAAAAGAAGCTCAAGATGGCCAAAGTTGGTGAGAACCAAGTAGCAGAGGGAGGTGAGTGTTGCTTCTTACCATAATTGGAACATAATTTGGTTTGTTTAAAATAACGGAATTAAGCTGCATCCTTGTTAATTAGGATTGGATGATGACAAGGAGCTGTTGATGTCCGAGATGAACTTCGAGAAGAGGTTTGGTCAGTCTGCAGCTTTTGTGACATCTACTCTAATGGAACAAGGGGGAGTTCCTCCATCATCAAGCCCTGCAGCTCTCCTAAAAGAGGCCATTCATGTCATCAGCTGTGGCTATGAGGACAAGACTGAGTGGGGTAAAGAGGTAATGGTTTCAGTAGTCCGTGAACAAATGTCATATATAGTAATGCTGATCTAGGTGGCTATTTGAACAAGCTGAATGTTTCTCATCCCAACTGAAGACTAATTTAACCTACGGCGGACCATGTTTGTTTGTAATCCAAATGATCAGGCACTTCTATGTGAAATCTCATAGTGATATTCATTTTCCAAATTTGCAGTTGGGTTGGATCTATGGCTCAATCACAGAGGACATTCTGACTGGCTTTAAGATGCATTGCCGAGGATGGAGATCAATATACTGCATGCCTAAGAGGCCTGCATTCAAAGGATCGGCTCCTATCAACCTTTCGGACAGGCTGAACCAGGTGCTGCGATGGGCTCTTGGATCTGTTGAAATCTTCTTCAGTCGTCACAGTCCAGTCTGGTACGGCTATAAAAAAGGCCACCTCAAGTGGCTCGAGCGTTTTGCCTATGTCAACACTACAATCTACCCTTTCACGTCGCTGCCTCTTCTTGCTTACTGTACACTCCCTGCTGTCTGCCTCCTCACTGGCAAATTCATTATGCCCACGGTATGTCAATTTACCTAGGACTCTACCTAAAGCGTATTTATCGTAGGTTGAAGTGTTTATGCATTTCATGCATAGAAAGCACAAATTAATTTTTTGGCAGGTTATTTTATTGTAATATAACTTTGTTTCTTTTCCTGCATTGCAGATTAGCACTTTCGCCAGTCTCTTCTTCATTTCGCTGTTTATCTCCATCTTCGCGACAGGAATCCTTGAGCTACGGTGGAGTGGAGTGAGCATAGAGGAATGGTGGAGGAATGAGCAGTTCTGGGTCATTGGTGGTGTCTCTGCTCACCTCTTTGCAGTTGTTCAGGGACTTCTCAAGATCCTTGCTGGCATAGACACCAACTTTACTGTTACTTCCAAGGCTTCAGATGATGAAGATTTTGGTGAGCTTTATGCCTTCAAGTGGACGACTCTTCTAATCCCACCCACTTCATTATTGATTTTAAACATTATTGGGGTTGTAGCCGGGATATCAGATGCGATAAATAATGGGTATCAATCATGGGGCCCACTCTTCGGCAAGTTGTTCTTTGCCTTCTGGGTGATTGTTCATCTCTACCCGTTCCTTAAGGGACTAATGGGAAGGCAGAACAGAACTCCAACCATTGTTGTCATATGGTCGGTGTTGCTGGCTTCTATCTTCTCATTGTTGTGGGTTAGGATTGACCCTTTCGTGCTCAAAACCAAAGGACCAGATGTCAAGCAATGTGGGATTAATTGCTAAGCAAACGGTCAAGGCTTGCACTATGGTTGCTTGTATTTTGTTTGTAAAACTGAGGTGGATGAGGAAGAGTTTTGTTTCCTTAGTGGATTGGTTTTGACGTTGAGATTGTTTTGAGAATTTAAATGAAATTATTTGTTCTAATGATGAGCATATCATTCTTGTCCATCAGCATCAGAACAAGAAATTTACCACTAGCCAACAGAGGCTTAAAGATAACTTGGCGTTCCGTAAATCTGTTTGTAAAGCTTTTCTAGTTTCTAGAAAGATGAATTATTCATGCTGAATATTCCTACAAGTTCAAATAGATGATATCTTCTCTCTAAAAAAACAAACAAACAAACTGACATTTGTGATGATTGGGCAGATTCTAAAACCATTTTGATCCATTGCTTATTCTTTTGTCCTGTTGTTTATCTATCATCAGTTCCTTACCTTAATGTCATGATAACTCTGTTGTAATAATACATGAATTATGAACTAACATTAACATATTAGTTGGATGTACCTGGATTCATGGTGATAACTCATAACGTCTTTCAGGTCCAGAATCAAAAGTCATCGCTAATTTGTCCTCCTCAAAAATCCTCCAAATTTCCATTCATCATTGTGTATAATTCCTAATAGACTGTGTTATCATCAAAGGATCCTGCTTTAGAGCATTTCAAGCACTGAAGGAAACAAGAGGGTAACAATGCAACAGAGACTAGCAACCCAACTACAACGTCAATTCTCCAAGGAAAATAGTATAAAGAAACAAAATATAAGTAAGTAAGGGGATACAAGAAATCCAATTAGGACTCTTTTATGTCGATTATTGCTTAAGAGAATAAAATAACCATGGTGAAAATGGTAAACTGGTGAAAATGGTAAACTAACTTAAAACATAATAACAGGAGTGGTAACTGAAAATTTTCAACTTAAGAGAACATAACGTATAATGGTTTTAACTAATAAAAACCACCACCTGAACATAAAACGGTGCCATGTCAGTTAACATGCAATTACACATTTGAAGTTGAATGTAGAATGTACCTTACAACAAAGCGGTAACACTTGGCGAGGTGGAAAGAGTTTTAGTGATATCTCCGAGACTCCGAGACTTCAATATAAGATAGACCATATCTTCTTGTCATCAGCGAAATAGGTGGCATAGAGCTGCCAGCTTATAGACCTGGAGGCCAAGAGCCAATCATGAAACTGCTGTTTTAATTGAATAGCGACCATTAATTGTATAACGATCAAATGCAGTTCCTGAAAGTCAAAACATTTTCCAAATCAAGTAAAACTACCACATGATTACAAATTCATTCATGCAGTACTTATCCTTATTCAATTTAATAAAATGAGCACGCATTTTTTCTGTTATAGTCTAGTGAAGATGAAGGCTACATTGCAAATGGAAGTAAAATATATGTGTACATGGTACAAAAAGTAGCAAACTGGAATAAACCTTTCATGCCAAGTTTAGGAGACAAAAGAAAAATAATTTAAATTAAAGGATGTATACTAACTTCGGTGATATCATCCTCTAAAGCATCTGTCAGTAAATAAGAATTCCGTATAATTTTTCAACTTTTATTCATCTTGAGGCAGTTTTCATTCTAATCATCTAGAAATTCATCATCATCATCAACCAATTCTTTACCCATTGTAATGGAGACATCTATGACTGCACTCAAACATTAAGAAGGCACAAAGGAAACCTGATCATCGGACGACTACCTGACGTCAACCGTCTGAGTTTATGCTAACTTCATATAATGAATTTATGGACAGGATAGGGGCTTGACAGGAAACCAAATAGACCTGTTGGTAGTTAAAAAAATCTGACCTTATTAGTTGTGAAAATTAAACTCATGTGACCGATGAGAAACCCTCCAAAGTTCTCCAAGGCTAAGGAATATAGAAGAAACCCATTAGCCATTAGCCAATCTCACCTTCATCCCTACACTTCTCCATTAAATTCCTCTGAGAAACCCAAGTACCCATTTCTCTATTTATTGGATTATTGCACTGATCCTTTCTCGGTAAAGAAAATCCACACCCATCGCATTGTTCATGGCCTCACCCAAATCCTCCCTTTTCAAACTAAGCTGTTGAGCTCGTACGGTTCTTTGGGGAACACTAAGTACGCACGCTTGGCGTTCGATAGAATTCCGAGCCCAGATCTCTATTCATGCAAAGCAATGCTAAAATGTTATGTCATGAATGGTTGCTTTGATAAATCCATTGGGTTTTATTGGTACATGAGAGAATGTGATGTTGAGTACGATAATGTTGTCTTCTCTCTCCTGCTTAAAGCTTGCATCAAGTTGGTTGACCTCGATGAGGGGAAGAAGCTACATTGTCTTGTAGTTAAAGTTGGAAATCCCGATATTTTCTTACTGAATGTTTTTGTTGATATGTATGCAAAATGTGGAGACTTGGATTCTTCTGTGGGAGTGTTTGAGGAAATTCCTCATCCAAATGTAGTTTCTTGGGCTTCGGTCATAACGGGTTGCAATCAGAATTATCGCCCAGAAAGTGGATTGCTTCTTTTTAATCGCATGAGATTGGTTGATATTGAACCTGAGGAGCATATAATGGGAAGCTTGCTCACATCATGTTCGATGGTAGAGTCTCCACATCAAGGAAAGTGGATTCATGGTTTCGTATTGAAAACTGGAATGTGCATGAACGCTTTTGTGGCTACTTCACTGTTGGATATGTATATCAAATGTGGAGAAGTTACCGATTCTCGGGCCTTTTTTGATGAGCTTGACGACATCGATCTTGTTCTATGGACTGCCATGATTGTTGGCTACACTCAGAAAGCAATCCGCGGGATTGGGAGACGGGAGATTATTTCTGGTAAATTTCCATCAAACCCCCTTGAACTATTGGCGGTTCTGTATGAGCCCTAATGAACTTGGGGAGAATTCACAAAATCCTCCTACATTAGACTAAAGGACAAATATATCCACTGTTTATCACGAGGGTGTCGGTCATGGGAGCAAAACGAGATAAGTTTAGTAGGAGTTATGGGGTTTGTTTGTGGGATTCGAATCTTCTCTACCGTCAAAAAGTAATAAAGAGACCACTATAATATCACAATTGTTGAAAGATGAGAGGAGAATTATACCTCGGAGCAGTGCTCCGATCTGTAGCTATTGATGACCATCTCGGATCTCAATGGTAGAGAGAACTACGACGAGAAGGACACCTATGCACTATTCACGACCCAAAAAACAGCATCCGATCAATTCCTTTGAGCAAGTCATTAATTTTTAGTATCTGAAGTGGTGTTACAGAGATGCAACCTCAAACCCTATTTATAGGAGAGCTTCAACTATGATATAGGGAATTTGGTTGGTGGGCAATTCTCAATTATAAGATTAGATTATCATGAGATTCTTGACTATATCAATATTAACCACTTCATAGTTATCCCAAGATATCATCTTTAGAACAATTTAGATTTATATAGATATGGTAGCCGCTAAAAGATGCCAAATCTAACATATTCCCATTAGACCAAAAGTGAGCTGCAATGGTTTGAATTAATGACAAGGTCCATACAACTGCTGTGTCTTGCAACAATCGAGAAAACCTGCAATCTGCGAGCTATACACTATAAACCCTTGTAAAGAGCAAGCATGAAGACATCAAGCACTTTGGAAAAAAGAATGTATAGATAGTGTCTCATATACCCCTGATCAAACTGTCACATATTTAGCTCAAGTATCCTCTAATCCCTCTTCGGAGAAGCATACTTGACTACCATAGAACTATTTGGTGGGATCCACATTTCGTCAAAAGCAAAGCTCCAAATGTAGGCTCATTATCAAAGTAGATGTGTCAATGCAGGCTCATTATCAAAGTAGATGTGTCAGTGATCTTCCTCTCGCACTATTATTGATTCAATCTAAGAACAACTCCTTTCCCTTCACCTTCCTTTAGGCCAAATCTATCATAGACGGTGAGGAGTCAAAATAGTACCACTACTCCCAAAATTTTACAACAAAATCAAATGTCACTAAAAGTAAAAGTGGAACAAAAATATGCTCCATATGATTGTGGTTTCAGATGATAGCAATGAAGGGAGCCATTTGCCTACCCCCAAGATCATGTAAGTCGCCTAGTATACATGGTAGAATCATGTGTCATGATGGAGTAACGCTCCTCTGGAGAGATATGTCCATCTCTACGTCATGTAGATCTTGAACTAATCAGTGGGCCTTACCACGCTTAGGTCCACCTGCCTCTTACTTGACAAGTGTATCATCGCGCCTACGTACGTGAAGCACACACACATCTGGCTTTGACCAGGTTGCAACAAACCTAGGTCATTCATCAATCATTCTTAAGAATGATCTCACCATGATTCTCAATTGAGATGATACAACTCATCCATGAATGTAGCTCACTGTTCGCAAAACTCATAATCCCACTTATTTTCAGTGCAATTCATGACAATTCATAGCTATCTCATCTTTGTTGCCTCAGTCATAGTGCCAAAGGCGATTGCTCATATGAGTGAGCCAATCTTTTAACGAGTTTGAACATCTTTAATTATTTTGCTCATTTGTTTACTAAAAGACATTCCATGGCTTTTCATAACATTCACAATGAAATCTAGAAACACATAAATGTTATAAAAGCCAACCATGAAATCATTGTTTGTGTATCCCTTGAGTCACAAATCTGAGTGTATATAGCACAAGATATAATCTTGTGTACCATTTAGATTCATGTCACCCTTTTACAATAGCTCAATGCACCAGTTCGACTAGCTGTAGGCATCAAAGGAAATATTGGCATAAGTACACATCATTGCATGCAATAAGCACCCAATACAGTTTGAATGTAGGACATTTGTCATGTACTTTTGTTCTCTTTCTAACTTCAAACAACGTTCAAGTCTTAATTGATGATTCTTTTGGTTGACATGTCTAGACATACAAGGTCAAGATCAGAGAGTTATTCGCGGATTGCTTTATATACATGCAGTGATCCTCTTCAATCATAATGAACCCAAACTAAAGATCGGCTCAATGAAACCTTAGATACCACTGCCTAGATGATTGTTTTCCATATATGAATTTTTTGAGCTTGTGGATTTTGTTGAAACCTTAGATACCACTGCCTAGATGATTGTTTTCCATATATGAATTTTTTGAGCTTGTGGATTTTGTGCTCAAGACCTTTAGATAGAAGCACCTTATGTTGATCCATAAATATCTCCTCGTCTAGTTCTCCATGGAGAAATATAGTTTTATATCCATCTAGAAAAGTTTCAAATCCATGTGAACGACCAATGCTAAAATCACGTGAATCGAGGCAAACCTCATCAAAGAGGAGAAAGTTTCCTCATAGTCTATCCCCTCCCAGTGTAGGTATCCTTTCACCATAAGTTGCGTTCTAAACCTATCAATAGAACCATCTAACTTTCAGATTCCACTTTTTTTTTATAGTCTTGTGCTCAATTGGAAGGTGTATTAAGTCTCATATTTAGTTTGTCCTCATAGGCTCCATCTCATCTTTCATGGCATCCATCCATTTATCTGTATTAGGACCAGACTTTGGATCCGCTATATCATGCAGTGCCACTGTAGGCTGTCTAAAAATCACAATAGATAGCTGATCTCCATCAAGCTTCAACAAACAAAAGCTACAAAGAGAGGACTTTTCACATAGATCAAGAAGAGTTACAAATCAACGACACTTCTGACAGCTGATGAAAACTCTATTCAGTAGCCTTCATAACCAACTGTGAGAGTTACAATCTGACGACTTTCACACCCCATAACAAGCAAAGATCAATGAGCAGTAGCCTTTGTGATGTTGTAATGGACGAGGTTACAAGCCAACAACCTCTCCCAAACGCAGATTCCACCTCTGCGTTTCTCAAACTCAAAACACATACGAACTGTACGTTCTCCAGCAGACATTCAACTTTGCAACGCAGAGTTAAAACACAAAACGCACAGACTGTGCGTTCTGCAGCAAACACTCAACCCTGCGTCTCAAACTCAAGACGCAGAGTTGAGATTCAGCACACAAAGCGACCTGTGCGCATGCGGCCTGTGCGTTTTAAATCTCTAGCAGAGATTTAACTCTGCGTCTCAAGCCTTGGGCGCAGAGTTAAGGCCCAGAACGCCAAGTTAGGTGTTTGACTTGTTCAAACACAGGTTGAACGGCCTAACAACCGTATATCCCACGTTCTGAAGGATTCTCGCCCACATAGGAGCGGATTTAGGGGTTGGTTACACCCCTTATCCCCCTATAAATAACCGCATTACTCAACTGAGTAAGAGGTTGATCGGTTTTAGCATCTAAACCGCACAGGGTTGGAGATTTGAAGATCAAAACCACCTGAAGTTGGGCTAAGAGGGCGAGTTTTCTGAAGATCAAGGAACTGATCAGCAGTCAGTTAATCAAATTTCGGAGAATCTCTTCACCAACAGCGGGTCTACTTGGCTATTAACCGAATTTTCGGTTCTAACAACTCTGTTACAGAGTTTCAACTCGTTCTGAGTTCTTAAACTCGTTAAGAGTTCTTAATTAGACTTGCAACGCAAGCTAATTACACTAATCGATTATTCGGTTTTCAACAACTCTTTTCAGAGTTTTCAACTCGTTCTGAGTTTCTTAAACTTGTTAAGAGTTCTAAACCGGATTCATCATTCAAGTCAATCGTTCTCGTGAGATAGTACGGTCGGATCGTCAACGGAGAGCAAGTTTGACGCAAGCAATCGAATGAGGCACTCCATCGCTACCTTGAAGAACCCAGTTTTAAACTAAGGGGAGAATCAAATTCATTCTCCTCTCTTTTGTAATCAGAATCCAAATTATAATCGATTTTGAGAGAATACAAATCAATTTTTCTTTCATTTCTTTTACATCAAATTTTTCCACAAACAAAAGATGGCGACTCCGCTGGGGACTAGCTTCTCTGACGAAGAAGTGGTGGCGCAATCCGACGTTCACTTCACTGGAACCACCGTCGAAACTCTCGTCGTAGAGTTCGACCAAGCCAAGTATGAGGAGACCCTCTCCTCTGGGTCGCATAGCCCTAAGGCTAGGCGTGATACCCGCAAGATCTCTAAGGAGGTTATGACTACTGCTGAAACGCCAAAGAAAGCCCTCTCATTTGGCCAAGATCTTAAACTCGCTCTGCTAGTTGAAGATTCTACACCCGTATCAACACGGCGTATAATAGGTTGTAAGAGACCTATGATAGAGGAACATCCAACCAACACCGACGACGCTGCGACGAAGGCGTTGAAACAAGCTAAGAAAAACACCGCTCGACGAAGGAGAAGATCTATACGCCGAGCATACTTGCGGAATAGCCGAGCTACTGCCCAACGCGAAGATTGCGTTTCTGAGCCTTTGCCCGAACCGTGCGCTTCTGCTCCAGAACACACACTTCGTGGCAATGAACCCGATTATGAGCCTCGGGTAATCCAACTTAAACGCGACCCTCAGTGGTGTGTTGTTCAATCTAGACGCACACCTCAAGAGTGCGTCTCAAAACGTGACCTTCAAAGGCATGTTCAATCATCTAAACGCACACCACAACTGTGCGTTCAATCAGAATACGACCCTCAGGGGTCTGTTCAATCATCTAAATGCACACCACAACTGTGCGTTCAATTAAAACACGACCCTCAGGGGTCTGTTCAATCAACCAAACGCACACCACAAGTGTGCGTTCATCCAAATCAAAACCCTCAGGGGTCTGTTTCAACATCAAAACGCACACCACAAGTGTGCATTCAATCAAAACACGACCCACAGAGGTCTGTTTCATCAGTTAAACGCAGGCCTCGGCCTCGTGTTTATAAACCTAAACGCGACTCTCATGTTTTTTCTCAAGAACACGACATGGTCTGTCGAGTTCAAGAGAATCAGCATGGAT